CCAGTGACCACCTTACTCCAGTGACCACGTTACACCAGTGATCACCTTACTCCAGTGACCACCTTACTCCAGTGATCACCTTACTCCAGTGATCACCTTACTCCAGTGACCACCTTACTCCAGTGACCACCTTACTCCAGTGACCACGTTACACCAGTGATCACCTAACTCCAGTGATCACCTTACTCCAGTGACCACCTTACTCCAGTGACCACCTTACTCCAGTGATCACCTTATTCCAGTGATCACCTTACTCCAGTGACCACCTTACTCCAGTGACCACCTTACTCCCGTGATCACCTTACTCCAGTGATCACCTTACTCCAGTGGCCACCTTACTCCAGTGATCACCTTACTCCAGTGATCACCTTACTCCAGTGATCACCTTACTCCAGTGATCACCTTACTCCAGTGGCCACCTTACTCCAGTGGCCACCTTACTCCAGTGATCACCTTACTCCAGTGACCACCTTACTCCAGTGACCACCATATTGACCATCTTACTTCTTGGGATCCATCTGTCGAGGAAGACAAACATCGAGAAGAAATGCAATAAAGGATCAAGTGTACAGAAGTGAGACTCCTGTTCCGTGTCGTCCATCACTTCTTGGTCACACAACATCGTCGTCGACCCTACACTTGAAGAGCCTGTACGGCACCACTAGTGATGTCTCTGAATGATTCTCCTACTCAAGAGGGATGATCATTACAATAACGCCAGTGTCTAGCCCGTGCTAACAAACACCACCATCATCAAGGCAATGATTTCCCGCACCAGTTATGATGGACTGTGTACAGACGGCCGATGATCGAGTGTCGAAACATCCTCAATTCTCAACCCAACAAGAGCCAGTGGCCTCGTAGGTGGCAAAGGACTTGTTCACGAATAGAACTCTTGAACCGTCTTCGCACTCATCGCCCCAGACTGCTCTACAAGATTCTGTATTTATGTTTTACGTTTATAAATACTATCAGACATCTTTATTATATAAGGCACCCTGCTTATAACAAATCCCAAGCTATGAGCATCACTGTAAAAAGGTGTTGCAAAGAGTCCAATACATTTCCACCTTCATGCAACAAGCGGCAATTTATAATATGATGGAATTTATAATATGCCTGTCAACTTTATTTCTTTCACAAATTCTCAAAAGCAGATCATGACAGCCTCGGCAACTCCAGTATGAGAGGACAGCTACAGTATATGATGGACCGTCCGAGCTACCCAGAGCAGAACAGGAGGAGACCATTGTCAGTGTGTTTACTATGGTCTGCCTGATGACACACATCAACTCAACTGTATGTCACTACATTCTCCGTGTGACACTGTCACCACAACGTCAACATAACACAAAGTGATCTGTATAACACAACGTCGCCTGTGCGACGCTACTTTATCAGCTAAACGCGTAGTTTTTTACGTGATGCCACACTGTTTGCATAATAACTCATCGTCCTTTTCATGTCACGAAGTATTTGTTGCCTAATTCGAGATCACATCTTCTTTGTGACGTTATATATGGCTTGTGACGCTACATCGTGTGCTGTAGACTACCTGTACATGTCACATCATGTACGTTATACCACACCACAGGGACCTCAGCTAGACAAGGACGGGCATTAGGTGGTCTACACCTGTATGACAAATAGAGAACTGCCTTTTTTACCTCCTACAGATCTAATTTCTTGATACAAAACGAGGCAACACGAGTAAATAATCACTGCCAAATGTGGAGTTCAATTTCCGCTTGGGGGAAGACATGTTCTGCCATCTGTTATACTCCTCAGTCCTCCATATTACTACATACTTCCTGGCTTGTGATGTCGTCCCACCCACGACTCGACGCCTTTGAGCAGTAGCCAACCACGATGAAGTGCTAATGAAATGTGTGTGTGTGTGTGTGTGTGTGTGTGTGTGTGTGTGCGTTACCCACCACGCACGAGTATCTTTTGACGGCTCTCCCCTTTTGAGTGTGATGAAATGAGTAAAATGACCTTCTCCTGTTCACAGCGTTAGTAAATACGTGCACAAGTAACTAATGACCCAAGAAATTATAATATTATGAATAACAATCAAGTCGGAAAAGTTTATTAAGAAAAACTAATTAAAAAAACCTATCAAGAAAAAACAAAGAAATCAAAAAGTTTATCAAGAAAAATAAACAAACCCAAAGTCTCAATGTAAACACTAAAACGTTGCGCTGTACTGTGTCTCTGATCATACTTAAGGTCTGTCTGTCACTAGATGTTCCCAGAAGGATGAACAAAAGTGAACAGCCTGGATGAACAAGAGTGTAAAGCTCCTGAGTTAACAATAGTGTACAACGTCTGAATGAGCAATAGAGTACAGCTCCTGAATGAACAATACTGTACAGATTTACTCTGATTCGGTCGGGTTGTCCCACACTGAACACTGATCTAACTTTAACATAAAATTCTAAACAGTTTCGTTCCCAATAAAAGTTTGATAAATGATTACTTTGTATTACATATAGGCCTACAATAAATTAAGTGATTGTATTGAAAATAAATGAAATAAAAATAAATAAAAGTTGTTCTATTGTTATTGAGTTCAGTGTATGTATCTGTGCGTGTGTGTGTGCGTGTGTGTGTGTGTGTTTGTGTGTGTATGTGTGACATTTTCTCCTGTATCCACCGCCAGACATAGAGTAAGGCCAAACAACCTCACCCAGGGAGGTACACTCAACACAACTCTCCACAAGGCTCCTTTAAGACAGTATCTCCTTGAATCCAACATCTTAAATACTATGTAAATATAACTCTCATATAAACATCAAATTAATGTAGAGTCTCTGTATAACCTCGACGCCATTTAGGTCATATCTTAAATATACCAGATGAAAAAAAAAATGAATGGAAATCCAAGGCAAGATATATCGCAGGTGTTCTCGGAAGGTAAAAATCTCATTAAGGTTAAATTGATGTTGCAAATAAGAGTAATGTCTGATGAATTATGGTGTTGGTTGATAATGGGACTGACATATTAGGTGGGAACAATGACTGACACACACTCAGTCAGCGGGGGTGAGTTGGCAACACTTGTTCTTTTGTATTGTTTGTGATTGTTTCTTCCTTCTTGTTGGTTCCTCTCTCTCTCTCTCTCTCTCTCTCTCTCTCTCTCCAGGTTTTCTTTAAGGGTGACGTGGTTCAGTAAGCCTCATCTCACTAAGTCAATATTAAATCATACTCGTCGAAGCGAAGTTCACAACAATTAAACCATCGGTAAGTTTCAATATAATTCTTATCTTTTTATATACTGTACTACACTGACTCCCTGTAACTTTTCTGAGGGTTAGAACAGAGGCATAAAACTTTAATGGTTGTATAAGATAAGGGACAAAGTGACAGAATAGGGCTTAGGTAATAGGTAGAAATGTCCACACATACTTGATCATAACCACAGCTTGTTTAAGTAAATACAAAAATGAACTTTAATATTCACGAAGATTCCAAACTCTGCATATCATTATATTGCTCATGTGTTTAGTCATCAAGGTCGAATAAATTTACCGGGAAATTTGGTTTACACCTTTAATACCCAGCCATGGATATATCTTAACAGAACCTTATCAAAACATTGTCCAGGTGGGACCCCGACACAGATGAGATGAGGTAGGGGTGAGGTGGGAGGTGAGGGGGAGGTAAACATTAGCTCAAAAACTTAGTATAGGGAAAAACAAAAAGGCAGGAAGACGGTCAATATGTATATAGAGTTTCAGTGTAGACGTAGGGAACACTCCTAGCTTCACCAAAGTTTCGTTTGTAGTAAAGATAACTTCAATCGATGTAATAATGTTGAGTGTAAAAAGTATAAAAGATATAAATAATTTACGAGATGTGTAGGTGTATTAAAGTGAGATATTAGTGAATTAATTATAAAACAAGGATGATGAAGATGTACTGTCCCACCAGCGATCAGTGTGTGGTAAGAGTCTGGTGGAACAACCGCCCGCGCCTCACCAGGTGGCCGCACAGCAACAAACACTCGTAGAAAACGGGAAGCGGGTCGATGTTACGTCAGTACCCCCAGGAACACTTTTGGCGGGAAGATGATAGTACTACGCCGCGTGAACAGCCTGACGCTGACGCTCAGGAAACTCTACGTGTCCTTCACTCCCTGGGAAGGATTTCTTACTATATAGGAATACGCAGTAGTATATTGAGAGGAAGCTGTACGCGTGTCGAAACCCTCATAAGCTTTCTTGAGCCAGCTTTGATAACATTTACTCTGGCAATTCCATCTGCTTATGAAAACATGCAACAGCAACTACACGAGTTGTGGTTAAATTGGAAATCATTTTTATACATATATTTTTTTAATATAATTATGAGTTTTGTTTTACTTTACCTACACGTTGTTCTTTAACCTTTTCGCCGCGTTTCCCGCACTTGCTATTTTATTCTGGCTGCCGTCAGACGATTTTATTCAGCTTAGGGTAACCTCCCACTGAAAGGGCTAATTGGGTTGTCTTATTGTTCTTTCTGCCTTAGTGTTGTAATATATTGATTGAAAACCCAAATTCAATTACATTACATAACAATTGATTCAACAGCTGCAACACTAACCGAGACTTGCATCTATTATCATATGAGAGTTACCAGTTAACCTTATAGCATTATGCGTATTATTTAGAACTTCTAAATATGTATGATTCTGTTTACTTATTTCTGTTAACGAGATATTTGCAGCATCATAATTTATCATAAAACCGCCATGTATCTTTTACCATTCCTTATTTATCTTGATTCATTTCTGTTTCACATAAATTCTTTTTGTTTTTTACATATATTTCAGAGTTTCTGGTATCATGAAGCGTGTAGCGGTAGTGTGGGTGGTGGCCCAGTGGTGGTGTCAGCAAGTAATGATGATGATACTGGGTATGAACAACTGTGGTTTATGATGATATTAATAATGAAGTGTATTGGCAGTGTAGAAGATGATTCACCTCGATAAGGGAGGAAATAAGAAAAACTAAGAGTAACATAAAATATATATATATTGTGCAAATGTGTCCTGCTTACTAAGGACTGACTGTACAGTGATGTGGCTGTGACTAGATGCTGGTGGATGTAAATCCCCCCTCCTCCCATCGTCTTTGGAACAGGGGACTCACTGGGGCACTGCTGGGGGGAACTCCTGATGGTGGGGTCTGGCAGGGCAGGCGGCCTCGGTGTGCTTGTTGAGGAGGGACATCCTGGAGAAGGTCTTATGGCAGGTGACACACGCGTACTTCTTGACATCAGCGTGAGTCTGGAGGTGTGCCCGCAGGTTGCTGCGGTCAGCGAAGCAGCGGTCACATTGCGAACACTGGAAGGGCTTCTCACCGGTGTGGGTCCTGATGTGCCCCTGCAGCAGCCAGGGCCGCGAGAAGGCCTTGCCACAGAGCTGACACTTGCAAGGCAATGTGTGGGTACGGATGTGCATCTTGAGGGCACCCAGACTTGTGTACACTTTGTCGCAGTGTTTGCACGCGAACGACTTTGTGCCCAGAGCTGCACAGTGGAACTGCTTGTGCTTGCTCAGCCCAGAGTACGTGGAGTACGACTTCCTGCATTCCGTGCACGAGTAACGTGCTTCGCCGCGTGGTGCTGCAGGATCGTGGACAGCATCGAAGGCGGTCCTGCGATACACTTCTGTGTCGCTGGTTACGTCAATCTCGTCCTCGCTAAGTGACTCAGTGCCCATACCCGAGTCCTCCGAGGCCGTAGAGCGAGGCGAAGCCAGTCGGTCCTCTGAGGGCTGAGGTGAGGCCAGGCGGGCGGCCAACACAGGGTGAGCGGCAAGGGTAGGATGGGGAGCGAGAGTAGAGTGCGTGGCGAGGGCGGGGTGGGCGGCAGTGTGCATAAGGGGCCACATGACTGACCCTCGCCACCACTCACTCTGTTGCTGCTGCTGCTGCACCGCCGTCGACTGGAACAGCTTCAGGTAAAAGTCAGCGAGGGATGGCATCCGTGGTGGGCTGGTGGGAGGGTGCTCGAGTGGTTGAGGTGTGGTAGGGCGTGGCGCGGGCGGTGTGTGAGGGCGTGGCACAGACGACAGGGACACTTGTGGGGAGCTGGGGCGGGGAGAGCTCTCGTCCTCATCATGGCGACGTCGCTTGACACTAAGATCCTGTGGCTGGTCATCAGCACCTGGGGAGAGAAGGAACACGTGAGACACCTGGCCAGAAAACATAAGTGACGCACTGCCACCCACACACATATGACAAGTGCAACTAACACACACACACACACAGTTCTATCACCCACATGGTGTATTCAGTGATAACAGCCAACACTCCACAATAATGGTGTGTTGTCGTACTCGTGAATTATAAGTGTACGTGGTACACCTGCCTCGACACTTTGAAGTAACAGATATAATATGACACACCTGAGCCACACATCCAACACGTCACGCAAGGCACACACATGTACAGTGAACAACACAACCAATAATATACACAAACAACTATGAATCCTAACTTACACTCCCTACAATACGGCCAAACGTTACAGACACAACTACAACACACACACACACACACACACACCACACGTACAGTGAGATATACACAATTATAAAACACTAAATCCTGAATTAACAATGAGTGTACAAATGACGGGTGACTCACACCTCCTGAGTCACATGGGTGAGTCAAGACAGGAGTAGTCACGCATGAGCCAGGTACAACTGACACATTCGGATATCAACAACACTCACTTAATGTAACTGATAACTTGATCAACAATTTCACTGTTACAATATTCACTTCACTTAAGGTTGACGTCTTTTCCGTTTCAGTTATTAGTTACTTACTAATGATGAGAAGTAAATAACGTTCGTATGATTGAACATTCAAACTAACACTGTAGTAACTCACCATCATCATCCTGTACGTTGTAGAAGGCCAGCGGCCGCTTCTTGGGTGGACAGTGGGAGTAATTTCTAAGGCTGTCCAAATAAGCCATCGTGCAATCCATGTGAGGAAATCCACTAACACTTCTCTCCTCAGACTCTCTATAGCTACTGATCTTGTGGACAAACCGCTCTCTTTTATAACATCCCGACCTGAAGGCAGGTAGCAAAACAATATGAGCCAATGGTGTTGAGGCATCGCATCCTCACTCACGCTATTAACCATTCGCGGGAGTCGGTGGGCGGAGCTAAACTGATGGCTGGCCAATCAGATACACGCAGGTGTGTTTGATGCTCCCGAGAATGTTGCCGAGAAGGGTGTTTTATTTTATATTATATTTTATCTAATATATCTAAAAGTTTATCTGTGCATATTTCATTATAAAACATTACAGTCAAGGGCACAAGGTTGTACATCAAAACTCCGATGTCTGAATCATACTCGATATCGAAAAACTATATATTTGCAGTTGTCATCTTACTGGGCGCACCAGATGATCGGGGGATGGAAAGGTGTTCCAGAATCGTTAAAGTCGCACGTGCTTACATCAGGTAATCACGAACACACAGACCCCCACACGCTAACTCACACACGTTACTCTCAGCCTTATGTCTCGCCCCACAAGGATGAGTCTTCTACATCTCGGGTTCTTCAGGCAGATGTGTTTGATCATAAAGTAGTGAGTCGGAATGGTCCCTGACAAAGAAAATGATGATTTGTGGAGAGCTGATAGTGATGGTCCTAGCCGTACCTCCATCCTCCTTAACAGTAATACTATCACAGATGTTTACAGGTTCTATATGGAAGAATTTGTTATTGTTGCGAAACTCTTCAACTGATAATACAATAGGTTCCGGTATTGACAACTAGAGGTAAACACTCTGGCCGAGACCCACCCCTTGTGTCACACCCTGTGTCCTGCCTCATACAGCAATGTGTCACACCCTGTGTCCTGCCTCATACAGCAGTGTCACACCCTATATCCTGCCTCATTGAGCGGTGTCACATCCTGTGTCCTGCCTCATACACCAGTGTGTCACACCCTGTGTTCTGCCACACTAAGTAACTTAAAGAGCCCTGGACGACGGGTTAAGGGGAATATATCTGCATCTTTAAAAAGTATCGGAAAATGGTTTACATTAAAGTCTCTCTCTCTCTCTCTCTCTCTCTCCTCGTGGGTTACCGGAAGAGTATTTGTAAGTGATTTACCGCCACACAGACCCAGCCGCCCTTACCTCAACCCCCCCCCACCTTCAGTCCCAGTACTCTCTTCTCCACTCCCTCCTATCCTTCCCTCTTCCTCTTCTCTTCCTCCCATCCCTTCCTCTTCTCTCCCTCACATTCCTCCCATCTCTCTCTCTTTCTCCCTCCTCTCCCCTCTCATCCCTCCATCTTCTTCTCTCCCTCCCATCCCCCTTCTCATCTCCCTCTCATCTCCCCCTCTCCTCTCTCCCAGCCCACCAGGTGTTGGGATAGCGAGGATAAGCACTAAGAGAGGAAAGGTGATCAGGACAGGTGAGAGAGGAATGATTAACACAAAGAAATGAGAGAGAGAGAGAGAGAGAGAGAGAGAGAGAGAGAGAGAGAGGAAGAATAACAAAAACGAGTCGATAATAACAAAAAAGAATAAGAAGAGATAACAAACATCAACTAAATAATGGAGAGAAACTAGGACATAAATAGCATATAAACGCCTGATAACTATAAAGAAATGAATAAAGATAAAAGAAAAAATAATAAAATATCAACAAAAGTATTAAAAAAAAAAAGAGTCCAGCCATAAAATAGAATCAGAAGTAACCAAAAGAAATAATGAAGGTAAAAACGAAGACATTAATAAAGGAGAGAGAAGGGTAAATGAGAATTACGTAACATCAAACGAGGAAATTAATATGTAAGCGATGATTAAGCTCTCCCAGTGTCGCTATGTATGTATGTATGTATGTATGTATGTATGTATGTATGTATGTATGTATGTATGTATGTACAGTATGTAGGGTCAGTTCTTGGCAGCAGTTGTCCCAGTCCGAGGTCTTGATAGCGTTCTCTGTCTAAAGTCGGTTTCTTGATGGTCAAAAATAAAAAAATCGGCTGACGGGAAGTGTGAGGCGATAATTTGACCAAGTTGATGTTGTCAGTTGGTGGATGGTGATGAGACCGGGAACAGTGGTCAGTAAGTTTCATCTGTCTCCGAGTGTCACCTGTTGACTTTACAGGAGGTACCTGAAACATGGTATATAGGTATAGTATATATACACCAGGAGACCAACTCAGCTCCTCTCTAAGACTGCTCTTTTATCAACCTGGACCACCACAACCCCTGGAGTATAGCTCGATCCCTGGAAATTCATATTCGTAAAGGCACTAAAATGAGAAGCTGTCTCCGTGAAGGTGACAGACGACCCGCCACGAGTCTTGCTTTGACTGCAGTTCATTACTCCTAAACAATATAGAATTGTCAGGTGCGTCGCTGGGGACCTGTGGTGTTCATAGATGAGACTCTTTACAGTATCGAGTAACGAAAGATGTGCAAGGGTGTTGAGACGTCGGGGAAAGAGGAATGCAGACATCATTATCCGTGAAACTGGTCGCTACATGCAGTGGGAACTCAGTCATGGAGTGGGCAGTAGTCTGTCTGAATCACGTGCAGACCATCAGGTGATTGTCGGAGGTACACTGAGAGTCTTGGGGTTACGGGAACGAGGAACTGATAACAATATGGTATGAGATTTGATAGTGCAGTACATGTAATGAGTTCAAAACCTGGGTATCTCATAACCTCTTCCACTGACTGACTAGCTGGATCACCACGCCTCACTCTGTGGCATCGTATCAAGAAAAAGAGGCGGGAAGATACACCCGCCACACAAGCGAGTGATGTTCTGGTCCAGATTTGTAAGCAGACACGGCATCTAAATTATGTGATCAAGCTACAAGTTACATCAATTATTAAGCATTGCTCATAAACACCTAAAACCTGTTGTTTAACTTTTTGTTGTTGTAACACTATAGGTTATATATAGTTTCCAATTTGGCTAAACGTCACAGCTTTATTGGTCGTGGTGAGACACAATGAGTAAAACTGTTATTTATTCATTGTTTGTTACTTTATGATTTAGCATCTTACTGATATATTGAGGTGATCATAACTTGAGTTTAGTAATATATACTCCTGTGTGTGTGTGGTGTGTGTGTGTGTGTGTGTGTGTGTGTGTGTTGGAAATAATAGTAATAAATTCATTGTCACTTCCTGGTAGTAAGAACATGAGGCAATACGTGATATTCCTTAAAATGGCGTCCAAGCTAAGTAGCAGCTTGGAATAAACAAAGTTGTATAGTGTATAGCAGGGAGACGCCAAGCACTAAGCCGAGGATGACATTAAGTCCATGTTTTAGTTGACCAGACTTGTCTATAGATGATTCAACACATCAAGAAACAACTCTATAGTGTCAGCGCATCAGTATATGGAAATTATTCTGTCTCGTTATGACTGCCCGTGGTGGTTAATCTTCTTAGTTTACTGGTTACATCCTGGTTGGCGACACCAATGTCCCATATAATCAACGCAGTTCAAGGATTCGTTACACACTATACTATCAAGAACTGCTCTTGATGTTAACCTAAGGTGTTGTCATGTACAGCGTCTACTTGTACTGTACAGTATATCATTTTTCTCAAGAAATGAGAAAATAATGTCAAGTAGAGACTGCAGAGCTTTGACTGAGAGAGGTGTTGCACAATTTGGTTAACAGACAGTACAAGTAGCGTTTCTTTGACGCCACGCCCCAGGCCGCTGCTTGTCTTGAAAAGCTTTACAGTTAAACTAATTAACGAAAATTATAAAATGTTTAGCCATTCTATGGATGATAAAAGCAGCACCAGTGAAACAAACAAAATGCTCTGAAGTTGATCTTAGATGGACTTTTCCTGATGAAGAGGCTGGTACAGTACAGTACAGTACTCCTGACAAACTGATGATAAGCAATAAGAATCTTCGTGGAAACGTTGTAATAGAGACCTAAGTTAAAATATTGAAGGAGAGTTGAGTAATCTAAGAGTGTGTGTGTGTGTGTGTGTGTGTGTGCGTATGTGTGTGTGTGTGTGTCACCGTCCATCACTCCGTCACCTCGCCCACAGCTTCCTTCTCTTTGTCCGTCTCCCTCCAGCCTCTACCCTGCCACCTGACCCTCCTCCTTCTTACCTTCTTCTTCCTTCATCCTTAACCTTCTTCTCTCCTCCTATCCCCCCCTCTCCCCCTCTCTCTCTCTCCCTGTCTCTCTCTCTCTGCTTTTAACAGAATATCTTTCAAAGTAGCCATCTTATTTTTTCTTTCTCCTACACATTGTCCTCACTCCTACACCTTGTCCTCACCCCTACACCTTGTCCTCACCCCTACACCTTGTCCTCACCCCTACACCTTGTCCTCACCTTGTGTCCTCACCCCTACATTGTCCTCACCCCCAACACCTTGTCCTCCACCCCCACCTTGTCCTCCCCTACACCTTGTCCTCACCCCTACCTTGTCCCTCCCCCTACTTGTCCTCACCCCTACACCTTGTCCTCACCCCTACACCTTGTCCTCCCTTGTCCCTCTTCTTGCTTTTCCAATTATCTATTCCTCTACCCCTTCTTCTCCTCTAACATTCCCTATCATCTTTCCTTTACTACTCCTCTCCTTTCTTGCCATTTTACTAATATCCTCCCTCCTTCCCGCCTTCCTTCAGATCCTCTACTCTACACTCCTTCCCTAAGACCCCTCCACTTTCCACCCTCCCTCCCTAAGACCCACCCTCCACTACGCCCTCCCTAAGACCTACCCTTCCACTACCCCTCCCTCACTCTCTCTCCCTCCCTAAGACCCCACCCCTCCACTACGCCCCTCCCTAAGACCCATCCTCCACTACCCCCCACAATGCCCACCAGCTTGAGTTACTCTTACTCTGCCCTGTGTGTGTGTGTGTGTGTGTGTGTCCGGACCTCGTTACAATCTTTCCATACCACATCGTTTTATAGAGCGACTTTTTCACCTTACTTAGTATCTTTTTTTTTCTCTCTTCGTTTAGTATCGTGTGTATGTGACGTCTGTAAGTGAGAAT